GAGAAAGGGAGAGGGAACCGACCGTGTGCGTTAGGAGTATGTGTATATATATATATATGTCTATTTATATAGTTAGACCATATATATACATATATATATGAGTGTATGTATATAATATATATATATATATCGTTATATATATACTTTATCGAAACAATATGCTCTGCGCTATGCAGGATGGGGCGCAGGGTGGTCTCTTAGGTGTACGTGGCATCTGTGAGTTGGGGACGTGGTTGTGAGTGTAGCGCGAGACATACCTGGTGCGGGAAGCGTGCGACATTGGTCGCCATATGCTCGTACTTCAGGGAAGTTGCCGTCATCATCATTCTGCATCATAGTCTATATTAGATAGGATCTGCTATTCATCATCTGGACGCCGAGCGCCAGATAGGATATCAACATTGGTTCTTCATTGATGATGATGACGAGACATTTTTCAGCACGGTCACTTATGAGCTCTCGGTATCTTCTTATTAGATGAAAGCTCGAGATTCAAATCTGTTACTGATTCGAGGTCAGGAGTTTCTGATCACATGTGTGTAATGATGTTTGATTGGTTTTTGCCTTGCACCTTATTGTTTTATTTACTTGATTTATTATTATTATTATTATTATTATTATTACTATTATTATTATTATTATTATTATTATTATTATTATTATTATTATTATTATTATTACTGCTATTATTATTGGGATTCAGGCTCGCTTTCCTTCTTACTGCACATACATGCAGACTAACGACAGTGTAGTAAAGGCTAGATAGGATCTGCCATCTGCAGTCTGGGCGGCCAGCGCCAGATAAGATATCAGCATTGGTTTCCCATTGATGATGAAGATGATGAGACTTTACCAACATTGTCAATTACAAGTTTTTTGGTGTCTCCTTATTTGGTAGAGCTCGTGCCTCAATTCTGCTGTTGGTTCGGGGTCACGACTATCTGGTCTTGTGTATATAGCGTTGTTTGATTGCTGAAGTTCGCTATTGCTCATCTTCCTTGTATATTATTATTATTATTATTATTATTATTATTATTATTATTATTATTATTATTATTATTATTATTATTATTATTATTATTATTATTATATTGTTATATTATTATTATTATTATTATTATTATTATTATTATTATTATTATTATCGTTATAAATTCAAGTTGCTCCACCCCGCATCCTTTGCTTACCATATGCAAGGGTGGGAACTTGTTGGATGTGCAATGTACCCACCGACGATGTCGAAGGGTGGATCTGTCAACCGCCCGACCTGTTGGAATGCGTGCTTGTCATGTCCCCCATGTTGTGATCTATGTGTGTTGTGTGATGAGGAGGATTGTGCCTCGTTCCCGGTGAGAGAGAAAAGAGGGACGTGCGTGCAAACAGATAGTCAGACAGACGGACACGGTCAGACAGGCAGTCTGCCCAGGGATCATTTGACTAATGGATAAGGGTTCATGCACACAAACATACATAGTACATACAGGCCTCCTAACTGTTGAGCCAGTGAAAGTCCAACGAAGCAGCCTAAACACAAACATGTGCGCTTGTGTATAGTGAGCGTGGTGGCATACAGACACAGATGCGCACACACAGGCGACGTGGAGCAGTGGGTAGCGAACATGACAACACAGATACACGCACACACGGAGACAAACAAACAGCCCAGTCAAACAAACAAAAACAAACGCAAGCAGACATGTATGAGATGCCGGGACCGACAAGGCAACCAAGCAGACGAGCAAAACACAGGAAAACCATCAGACAGACAGACTGACTGACCAGACAAAACGAACATAAAGAAGCAGGCAGACAGACACATTGACTGGCTGACTGAGACAAATCGACAGACTGAGGCAAACGAACAGGCAGGCACTGAGAGAAAGAGATAGCAGGTGGGGCCCGTAAAGCTGCAGGCGCAGAGATAGACGAAAGGAGAAGGAGAAGCTGGCAACAGCGATACACATGCGGAAGAGCAAG